CCCTGCGTCTAGACTGATCCCTGGTCTGACTTTGGCCCCATGGTTGAAATCCCCCCCCCCCCCCCCCGAGCGAACAACTTGCCATGAGTAGCTCCACATCTCACCCCAGCAGTGCAGCCTGCGGAATCAAGATGGCCCACTCCCCGTTGAGATCCTCGACCGTCAAAGTCCACTCATTTTCGTCCAACTCGACTTCAAATTCACCGAGGCCAGAAGTGATAAAGGTATTGGTCGCGGGATCCAATTTTCCAATGACGCCTTGGTTGACATCAACAAGCCTTTTGACTTGCTCGCTGTAAATGTAATCAACTTTGACAATATCGGCGGCTGGATTAGTGGCGGTATCGGTGGCGACCTGGAAGGTGGTGCGGTCGACAAAGAGAAACCCGGCGGGTGGACTGGCTGGATTCGCATTCTGCGTCACGGTGATGGCGTTGGCATTCGTGCCGTTGTACTCCACTTCCAAAGCTCCGGCGGCCTGAGGGGTGAGGAACACTATTAGTCGTGTCTGTTGTGTTGATAAATGGGAGTGTGCTGTGCTGTGCGAGGGAGAAACGGAAGGCAAGGACTTACACTCTCAAGGAACAAGATATCGGTCTTGACATTGCTACCAGGGACAGCGATCGCAGTTCCGAAAGTACCGTTCACGTTCACTTCCTCTCCTGGTGTCTCTTCCGCCGCTGCTTGCGACGCAACAGCCGCTTGTGACACAAAGATTCCCCACTCTCCATTCATATCGGCAACAGTCAGCGACAGCTCGTTTTCCTCAGCTTCGAATTCTAGCTCGCCTAGAGCAGGGTCTATCACGAACTGGCAGCCATCGGCCGAGAGTTTGCCAACTTGAGCTTGGGCAATGTTTGCCGCCACAACCGCAGGATCTGTTGAAATAGTTAGTATGTGGGGGAAGAGCTTGTTGCAGTGAAGCCTTACTTGCGACGTTGAAGATGTAGTCAACCTTTTGTAGAGTGAGACCCTGAGTTCCCCCGGCCAAACTCACGATAAAAGACGAAGGTTCAAGGGCGACGAAGCCTGTCGGAGGCGGAGCGGGTGTCTTGTTCTCCCTCACGTTGAGGGTTCTGCCATCTCGGTTTTTGAACTCAATTTCGAGGCTTCCGATTGCCTGGTCAGGACTTAGTGAACGCGAAGATGACTTGGTAGGATGTGGATATCCTTCGCTTACTGATGGTGGATAGAGGACGTCTGTCTGAATATCATCTCCCTGTAAGGCTACAGCCTGACTAAATGTGCCATTGATATTGATTTTCTGGGCTGTTTCTGCTCCTGCGGCAGCGTTGACTGGCGGAGTTCCAGGTGCGGGACAGGAGGTAGCAGTAGCAGCTGAAGGAGCCCTCGTTGAACTGACTGCAGTCGCTGCTCTGCTTCTTCGCTCATCCAAGTGACGTCTTTCAATAGCTGGAGGCGCAGGAAGAGCATCGGGTAGGCGGAGATGGGACACAGTAGCACGCTTAGCTCGCACCAATGCTGGAGGTCCAGCCAACGGCATCGGAGCAGCAGGCAGACTCAAGAACTGAGACAGGAATATCAATGAAAGGAATAACATGATGACAGCAGTGTAGGAGTAGAGGACAGCTCCAAGACAAATGAGACAAGCAGTGAGGAAAGAGTGTGACACGAAAGAAGGGAAGGCTGGGCCAGCAGCTCAAAAGAATATAACAGACGCGGAAAACGATGTACTGTATCAACACGTTTCTTGACAAGATTTTGCAAAGCGGCTGGACTCTATATAGTGAGTCCTCTACGGTCGCTCGTCACGGGCAATGGGTCCCACGGAGCGAGAGATGAGCACTTGTCTGGTGGATCCTACCTGACACCCGCTATCACAAGAGCAATTTCAAAGACGTGTCAAGTTACTCTAGAGGATAGATACCTCCTCCTAATCGCTAGCCAGACTTGTGCATAGAAATCATCCGTCAACACAGGAGTCACTTTCATAACCCGGCGCCGCCTCCTCTGCGCAAAGGTCTTGACCCGGACTTTGACGCCAGGCTGTGTCCGAAAGAGGCAAGATCATGTCAATGCCAAGATATTCCACCCCGCCGCCAAGCCCAAGTCAAGTGTCGTCGCGGAATGCGTGACGCAAGCAAATTCGACTCGCACTTGGCTTTCACTTCTAATCGTATACTGCTTGGCAGGGCAATTGAAGACGAAGCTCCACGTGGCTCAATGCCCTCGCCAGTACTTGCGAAAACCGGAACTTAGCAGTGAACAACCATGCCAACGTGGGGTGTCTAGGCCAGTGACAATATGTATTTGGAGACGTTAATTCGAACCTGGTATTCGTCGCACCTCTCACAGTACTTCTGGACATCTGCGAAGCTAATCTGGATAGCACTACATTAGCAAGATCGCTACCACACCATTCATCAGGTGCAAGACGCGAATGCGTCGAGGTGGTTACGTGGCGCACGTTCGTGGCGTTTACTCCAAAGCGTCGTCGAGCCAAGCCGCTTGCGACTGTTCGCGACTTTATCCGTCTCATCTTGGTCTGAACGTCTATATAGCCGCACTAAGAACCCCATGAACCTCATCAAAGGTGACGCTATCTCCTTATTCCTTCGTAATCAGTATGATCTAGAACCTGGTTGGTAGCGCGAGGATATAAGCAAGCGAGCTTGCTAGGCTAAACCTACCGTCAAGACTTATATTGATAGCTTGTATCACTTGTACCTTTCTTCCTCTTAGCGAGCAAGAGCCGGCTGGCTTATCCCCCATGAAACAGGTGTACGTCAACTCAGCACGCACACAGCCAATATGGCACTCTCCAGATGTGCAAGTAACTTTCACGTCCACGACCCGAGGGCCTGGTGTCGTTTGACATGACAACCCCTATCTGCCGTTCCCCGCGGAGTATTGGAAAGCTCGGCTGAAAGCCCATTTGATGATGCCGCAGCACGAAACCTGCTACCATGGAGCCTCGCCTCTTCGAAGATGTTGTAAATAACGGCATCGTCGACGGCTGAACGATAAGTAACCCCAGAGCATGCTGATTCCTGTTAGAAAGGGAGCCACTTCACCAACGAGAGGGGACTGCAGCCTCATTCACTTTCCTAGTCTATCAACCCGGGAACTCACAGGCTGGCCATTGAGTTATCCCTGCTATATTCAACTTACATTCCTTTTGCTCTATCCAGTTCGCTTTTTCCTGACTATTCAAATAACAATGCTGTTCAGTTTTGGAACCCCACTACAACGCCAACGCCGCCACGCCCTCAACCCACATCGCCTCCTCCTCGCCCTCCTCACACTCACATCGGGTGCCGGCGCCCAAGACGATGATGAGCCGACCTCGTCAGTAGCTCAAGCTAGTGAGCCATTCACTGATCCTCTGACGGCACTGCCAATGCAACGCTTCTTCGGAGCACGGACACAATTCGCCTTCTCCATGGCATTATCCACCGCGGCAACGACAACAACGTCCTTTATCGGACAGCTCTCCTTTCCGCTCGTGGGTGGCGCTGGCTGGGGCGCCTTCGGCCTCACAGGCGAGATGGAAGGCAACTTCATTCTAGCCGTGTGGCCGGATGGCGCAGGCAGCGTCATGGCGTCGTTCCGCCAGGCCGTAGACGAGGACAACCCGGCCGAAGTTCGTGGCAACTTCGCTGTGCGGCCCATCGCCAACGCCG